ACGTGGCTATCTGGGGTTGTAGCCGCTTTATTCACAGGTCTAAGGAAATATTTGTTCACATCAAAAAAGCACCACACGTGTAAGTCTCCCTTTAGATAGCAGGGGGCTGCGGGTCGGGAGTGAGGGGCACCGGCAGAGCTGTGGGGGGGAGCCCAGGGCTGGGCTAGCAGGGGGCTGCGGGTCGGGAGTGAGGGGCACCGGCAGAGCTATTAGGGAGATGCATACGAGCGCGCCCCCACAGCCCATGGCAGACTCGGCAGCGCGTTGCTCTCCTGGAAGCACTGGCTGCTCCCTGCTCGTGGCCTGTCCCGGCGCCCTGCTGCCCACTCGCTGCCTCGGCGCCAGGCGGGGCTGTCGGGCGTTGGCAGAGACGCCGACGGACCATTTACCTTCAGCTTGTCTATGGTGCTGCTCAAGGACTTCAGGCGGGCTGTCTGCTCCAGCAGCTGGGCGGCCGGGCTTCCTGCTGCGGGACAAGAGACCCGGTAAGGGGGGCTCCCCGTAGGAGCGTGACTTCCCCGCGGTGCGGGTGCCGAGTCCCAGCTGGCCGGGGTCTGACAGTGACCTTGGCTAGTAGCATTCAGCCCCAAGCACCCAGCCAGGAATCCCATCACCAGCACTGAACTGATGCGCAGCAGGGATAGCACAGACTGGAGAATCCTGGATCCAGGTTCTCGAATGAGAAACACGACACTGCAGGGAAGTTCCTGTCCCGGAGGCCCATTGAAAGCAGGAGGAATAGGGCAACTAAGCCCCTGCTCCCCGATCTCCAGGAGGGTCCAGGATAGGAGAGGCAGCCCAGTGTGTGAGCGGGACCCTCTCACGCAGCTCCCAGGGCAAGGGCATGGTCCGGTCCTTCAGCCCGCAGCTCCTGCCACATAAACCAACGCTGCCCATCCAACAGCTCGGCCTGTCCCCTGGGCAGGAGGGGGAGCTGGCGGGCGGGGGCTGATCAGTGTCTAGGGGGCGTCCAGGAGGCACTTGGAGATATACCTATCTCCTAGAACTGGAAGGGACCCTGAAGGGTCATTGAGTCCAGCCCCCTGCCTTCACTAGCAGGACCAAGTACTGATTTTTGCCCCAGATCCCTAAGTGGCCCCCTCAAGGATTGAACTCACAACCCTGGGTTTAGCAGGCTAATGCTCAAACCACTGAGCTATCCCTCCCCCCCTGAAGTTCTGGGCCCTTCAGAAGGAAACCACCACACCCCGAAACACCCCTGCGGCGTGGCTCTGCATCGCTCTGCCTACAGGGCGTACACGGCCAGTGAGCGCAAGGGAGGCCGGGGGCCCAGGATTCACGATGGAGGACACCTTTGGCAAGGGGAGGCAGGAAATGACCAGCCCCACTAGGGGCATGGGGCACTCTGTGGGCTGCACAGCCAAGCACCTCCAGCAGGTTCCAGGGACCCTGAATTCCTAGTGCGTCCGGCTCCCGATCGGGGGGTCTGTGTTCGGTCCCCTGGGATACTGAGCGCAGATACACCACAGAGGGGGCACTGGGCTGCCCGTGAGTCGGTAGCTGCAGTGACAGCACCAGTCATCTCCAGCGAAAAATAAAACCTTGATGGGTTAAACAAGCAAAAATCTCCAGCCTGCTTCCCTGGACGTCCAAATGTCGGCTTCGCCTGTTCCCCAGTGCTGGCCCCCGCGCCGTCACCCCTCGGGGAGCCGTCTGAACGAGAGCGGCCACAGCAAGGCCTGGGGGTTACGGACTGAGCACGACCAGCAGACGGGCTTCGTACAGAAAACTGTGGGACAGCCCGGGCTCCGCCCCAGAGACAGCAGCCACCTCCAGGAGAGGACAGACGTCCCTGGCCGGTTACAATGTGACCTTCGGACCCACAATTCTGCACTGGGCATGGGCCGAGAGACGAGCATGCCCGCGGGCCCCGCCCACAACCCGTCCAAGAAGGGCCCAGCCGGCCTCTGGCGCTGAAGCTGTTATCGCCAGTAAGTTCGCTAGCAGGCCTGGACCCAGGGGCCCCCCTGGGGTCCCAGCTGACTCCGCTGACCTGCCTCCTGGAGGCGCCTGCGCCAAGGAGTTGTGTGTGCAGGACGTACCCGAGCTTCTGTGCGCGACGTCCACCACCTTGGCGTTGGCGCTCATCTGGTAGAGGGTCTGCAGCAACTGGCTCGTCTTCCTGTACAGAGTGCCGGAGGCCACCTCCTCTCCCTGCCGATCTTTGGGAAGCGAGAGCTTCGGGACGTGCAGAGGGGGCAGCGCTGCCAGCTCCGCCTTCATGTGGGCTCCCTGGGCACGAAGCAACACCAGAGTGTAGGCCTCGGCTCCGCCCCAGCCCCAGCGCGCCGGCCAAGTGACGGGACTTGGAGGGAAGAGGGGCCCGGCCCATTCTCCAATCGGCAGCCACAGGAGAACCAGAGCTCCTTCCCCAGGGATACCTGGCCACCAGCTGAGCCGTGCAGTTCCCCTCGTCGGGGGAGCCAAGACCCTCCCTCCCACTCCCCCAGTGCAAACTGCATGAGCCCAGGGGAGCAGGGACCCAGACTCCCACCCTGAGCAGCTGTTCTTCGTTCCACACCCCAGCAGCTCAAGCAAAGGAGAACAGGAGCTGCCCTCCCGGAACAGAGCCTGCTGTCGCCTCCGTGCTGAATGGCAGAGGAAGGAGGGCCCCCTCCCCCAATGCACAGCACCGTGCCCTGGAAGCTGGTGGTGCGGGGGAGGGGAAGGACAAGGAACAGCAGCCTTAGGCAGGGGAGCCCTTGGCATTTTATCCTTGCGAGTGGGTCTGCAAATGCCCCTCGTAGAGCAGAGGGGTCTGACGTGCCTGTGAGTTTCAGTTAGCGATTAGCTTCAGTAATGCCCTGCAGCAGGGAGGTCCACAGGTTAACGGTACATTTCCTTTGCATACCACCGATGGCCCTTTGCTCCTATACAACAGAAGCCAGTCAGCCAGTCCCCTCTAGATTCTCACTATAGCTCCAGACTAAACCATCCCAGCTCCAGCCCATCTGCAATCCCCTTCCTACTGCCCTTCTCTGCTTCCCCCCGGGAGGGACCGGCTGGAGAGCAATGGGTGATTCCCGGTAGCCAGTCGGGGCGTGTGCAGCCCAGCCTGGCCGGATGAATGCCTGGAGAGCCAATGGTGCAAACCCCAAGAGAGGCCCCCTCACCTTGAGCCGGTTGTTCTCAGTTTTGAGGTGCTCAATGGACAGCCGCATGGCGTCGATCTGTTGGAGGAGAAGAGGCGAATCCTTCACCTGGACAGGTCCTGAGCCACCTCCCATCACCTGGCCAGCGCTGACACCTGCAAACGGGGCGAGAATATCAATGGTCAAAGGAGACTACGGAGCCGGCGTGGTCTGTGCATGCAGGGTCAGGCCGCAGGCGGAGCGGGAGGAAGAGGTAAACGTGGCTGTGCCAAGGGCTGCAGCAGGAACGCCCCTGGCCGGGGCACAGAGCGATTGATCACGCAGCCGGAGATGGAGTTCAGTGGCAGTGCCCTGGGGGCGAACCCATGCAAATACCCTGACAACACCCCAGGCCAGGATCCCACCCCTACAGAACAGCCTCTTGTCTCTGCAGCAGAGGCTGTTCTGGCCCATTCCCAGGAGAGCCTGGCACTGAGCGGAGAAGGGATGCGGCCCTGCATTTCCCCGGCGGAACCAGCTCTGGGCGCCTTTGTGGATCCATCTCCCGTCTGTTCCCTGCCCCTCTCGAACACTGGGCTAGCTGCAGGACGCTCTGGCCAGTGAGCCACGTGGCTTCATAGCAGTTGAAAACAGCAGCACTGGAGTAGGACCAGCGCCTCCCGCTCCACCTCGGATTCCCAAAGCCTCAGAACCCCCTTCTCACATGCACTGGGGCCTGCCCTCCTGGGGCCTACGGAGACTAGGCAGGCTGGAGCATGATACTGTACCTCTCTGCTGTTCCTCTGTGGTGCCAGGAGGGGAGGAAAGCACAGGAGAGACCAGAAGAAGCAGAATTAATAGCCGAGGAGCAAGTCTCGAATGCAGCTCTGGCCAGAGAAGCCATTGTAAAAATGGCACCGTCTTGCCCCCCAGATCTGCTCCCTACGCACATTCACACCTAGTCTGCTGCCTCTTACTCCAGGGACCCTCACGGGGCCACACGGCCTTGGAGAAAGAGCTGGATTCCATCCTGGCTCCCGTACCGCCTGCTGCAGAACCTGCATTGGGGGCGCAAGACCGGAGAGCCTGGGCTGAATCAGCAGAGCGGGCAGTTTCCAAAACCACACACTGGAGCAAATATGGCAGGACAAGCACGCAGCCCAAGATGCCATTCCTAGAGCAGCTGCATCACGGGATGGATCCTGAGACCTGCTGACACCTCCCGCCCGCTCCGGATCAGGCCTGCAGAGAGCACGAGGCAGCCAGACGGCTGTGTGAACCACAGGCAGAGAAGGAGAAGTGAGCCAGAGCTGTGAGCGCAAGGAAGGGGGACACGGGACTCTCCTTTCCCAGCTCTGCCACCGATTCACTCCGGGGCCTTGGGAAAGTCCCTTTGCTGTCCTGTACCTCAGCTCCCCTGCTGCAAACCGGGGACCCCCTGTGACGGTGCACCCCATAAGGCTTCATGGAAATATACTTATGAATGTATATATGATATAACTAGAATATGTGTTATGCTACATATGCCATGTAACATATCTCTGTAAAGGTTATGATCTACTGAATCTATTCATCCCATTTGTATGCATCTGTTGTTGTATTCGACGTTATGAATATTGGCTGTGTACTGGTTCGGTTTCTAAGTAGCCTTTGTAAAGCATTTGGGCAGCTTCTGGAGAAAGGAATGTGCAAATTAGGTGCCCAATCAAGAAGCACTGAAGGGACAATGGATCTTGGGAGGCTCCAACCCACATAAGACGTCTACATGAGGACGTTCAAGGGAGCAGGTAAGCCATGGCTGCTGGCTGTAAGAACCGAGTCACGCATGGACATGTGACTTGCCCAGGTGACTCCAGAACTCCATCTTGGAGCTGGACTTTGCATA